GAAGGCCTTAGGCATCACCTGGAATAATTTAGAGGGACAGAGGGAAGACCTTTGGGTACTCTAGGGATTTTATCCCCATGGAGCTAGAAAAGTTCCTGCTTTTTTTCTATTTTATTTAAACAATGGATTTGGTAAAAGAAAAGTTTAAAACCAATGGTGATGAGATATTATTTTAGCTCGAGATTACCAGGGGTGATAGTTAAAACAATTAACAGTATGACACAGGAATTGGCCAATCAGAATGGATACTCATACTGGGGTGTACCCGAAATCATCTTTTAGTTATTGCATCCAGGAGAGATTGGGAGAGTCATGGGTGGGGACATCAGATGACCAGGGCAGTAGGGGAGTACAAGGGACCCACAGGGAACTCAGACCACTGCTATTTACCAACCAGTAAGAAAATATTTTAATTTTCATAACCAGTATGGCTACATCTTGGAAGTTACACAGTAAATCAGGGATAGTTAGGACTCTAACTTAGATCTTCATTTCCTGGGGAAAAACTTACTAGCAGTTATGTTACCGTCTTTAACAATGATCTCAACATGTCAGAAAATAAATGATCTTCCTTGAATCTCTAGCTTTATCAACAATTCATGTCAATGAAAAAGTAGGTATTGCATAATCTATTATAGAATGCAGTGATGTACTTACTTTTACATTTATATATTTTCATGGATTCCAAAACGAGAGGTGCTAAAGACACCTAGTTATTTTTTTAAATATTTGAAAATTTTATTAATGGAAATAGACCATCCTGTTAGACAGATATCCTTTTTTAGTCAATTTTCACAGAATCTAGAATCACTGCAGATAGTTACTAAGATCATGATGAGGCTGCAAGAATCTAATCATCAGAGAATACTTTTTGGGAAAACCATGTATCTGTTTATCGTTTTCTAGTTTGTCAATGTACATTTTCTAAAAGAAATTCTGACATGCATGATTAGTTACAATAGTTCTTTTGCTCTCCCTCTGGAATGATAAAGCATAATTACTGGCTTATGTAACATGGTACCTCACTTGTAAATTTAAGAAAGAAGCTCCCTGTGTTGACAGTTCTAATGTCTGCCATCTGTTTGCAGGGGATGAAGCCCTGGTGCTCCCCTAATTGGCCATAAATTAGGTTCCAGCAGCAGGCTCTTGACAGGAGCCTTAAGTTACAGTGGTTGTTCTGTTGGTGGTGGTTTTTTGTTTTGTTTTTTAAGCTGTGAGTTCAACATTTGGTGGGAAGACCTGGTTCTCCTCTAAGATACAGAAATGCACATTCTGACTTCTACAGAAATGCACATTCTGACTTCTACAGTCAGGCCATCTTCTCTATACTTCTCCCCTCTCCAGGGGTACGCTCTGTATATATTCTGAAGGACAAACTTCTGCCAGATAGAAAAACTGCTAAATAAGAGGGGGTCCTGTGCCTTCTGCAAGAAGAGGAGAGCACATTCGTTGAATGCTTACTACACATCCTGTGATGTGCACGGACCTTCACATATGATAAACTGTTTGATCTTCAAAACAATCTTAACTTTAGGTAATCCCATTTTGCAGATAGGGAAACTGAGACTTAGAATTTATGTAACTGCCCCTAATCTCAAAACATCATGTAGTCAGGATTCAACTATTGGGTTTTATTTGACAAAGCCCATGCATCACCCAGAGCACACTATATATTAGGTTTGAAAAAAAAGAGAAAATTGGATGAAGGCAAAAGTGTGTATACGATGCTACATGGCATTCTCTCACTCCTCAGGACCTCACTTAACTCATTTGAAGAAGCAGGACCAGACTGCCCACAAAATCCCACCTAGTTTGTTTCTCTGATTAATCTGGGCTTACTGTTTACCAGGAAATCTTATCAAGTTATTCAACTTCCATGGGCTTCCACTTCCTCTTCTATTGAACATCCTGTCTACTTTCCAGCTGGGATCCCATGCATGTGGAAATTCATAAATTATTAAAGGACTGTAGGGATACAGACCGATATGATTACCTGTTTACCCCAGTCACCTGGCACATCCACAGCCTCAGAAAATCTAGTCAGATTTTTTCGCTTTAGACTTTATTATTATTATTTTTTATAAAGATTTTACTTTGAAGTCATCTCTACACCCAATGTGGGGCTCAAACTCATGGCCCCAAGATCAAGAGTCACATGCTCTACTGACTGAGCCAGCCAGGAACCCCTCTTGCTTTATACTTTAGAGGCAAGGTCAAGACCATTTGAGTTTCTGTAACTTTCCTGATCTACATCTCTACAAATTTTCTACCTCTCCTTTTAGAAATAGAAAAAAAAAAAAGAAACCTATGTTCTCCAAGTATTCTTTTCTTGTTTGCCCACCATCTCTTCCTCTGTGGCCTCATTTCCAACAAATATTCCCTCTAGTATTTCATTTGCTCCATCTTCCTGGATGTGTGTGCGTACTCATCACATGGACACTCTCCAGGAGCCCACCAATGCCTCATGCCACCCCTCCCTTCGTCCCTCCTTCCCTCTTTAGCTTCTACCAAGTTCCTGAAGGAAATAGCCCTTAGTCTGGGTGATCTCACTTCCCCAGTGCCCACTCACTCTCTGCAGGCTGGACACCATTCTCACCACTTGACTGAAACTTTTTCCCTCTATCTGTATACCTTTCGGCTTCCACCTGCGCAGAACGCAGCTGACTGTCTTTCCTCTCGTGAATCTTCTCTTGGCTTGTGAGGTTTCCAGCATGGCTCTGATAGCCAACACTTTGGTATTATTTACTGTTTTTTTTTCCTCCTCCTGCCTCATTCTTAAATGTAAGAATTTTCCCAACTTCTTTTTTTTTTTTTTTTTAAAGATTTTATTTATTTATTTGACGGAGAGAGACACAGCGAGAGCAGGAACACAAGCGGGGGGAGTGGGAGAAGGAGAAGCAGGCTTCCCGCGGAGCAGGGAGCCTGATGCGGGGCTCGATCCCAGGACCCTGGGATCATGACCTGAGCCGAAGGCAGACGCTTAACGACTGAGCCACCCAGGTGCCCCAGAATTTTCCCAACTTCTAAACTTGGTCCTTTTATCTTCTTCTCTCTTCTTTCATGCAATTCCACCCAATCCCGTGGCTTCAGCTGTTAACTCTACATGAGCAATTTTTAAGTGAATTTTAACGGAATACCACTGTGCCTCCCAAATGGATTCCTCTATACGCCCTCCAGATCTTCTTGATCCTGAGTACACCCCTAATTCCTTCTATGCCTTTTACGTTCAGTCAAGGAGTAAGCCCTTTGGTTTCACCTCTTCATTCTAATGCAGTCCCCCTGTAACTGGTCTCATGATCACTGCTTGGATGTACAGATGCTAAGCAGATATTCTGCCTCCTATTCATCTTACTCAGCATTCTCAGATTAGTCTAGCAATACAGTGATAGAGGGACACTATTTTGTCGCCTAAAACTCTCAGTTACCCTCATCCCAACATTGAGTGAACCAGCCCCAACGTGTCCGTGAACTCACCTGCCCCAGCACCTCTGCCAACCACCCTGACTCAGCCTCCCCTCTCCCCCCCTGCCCCCGGCCAGCTGAAATGGTTGTTCCCTTACGAGAACTGTTGTGCTATTCAAACTATTTCTATTGCCTGTACTTCTGGATCCGCCCAATCATGCCCTGTCCCTCGCAAAGACTTCCCCGATTCTCCTTAGTAGTCGTCATTCCCTTCGCGGGACTCCCCTAAGTGTGTCCTCTGGACCCTTCCCACTTTCTGTCTTGTGCATAGGTCACAGATTCTCTCGTAGAAGCAAACCCCCAAAACCAGCATCTGTGCTGCTCCTCAGATTCTTCTCATGGCACCGAACCCAAAGACTTGCATGTGGTAGATCCTCAGTAAGATGTTAGGCAAATGAAGGAAACAACTGGGTAATGGTTGTTTGTAGGAACCAGATAAAGAATATCTGCGTTAGGGACATTCACAGACACCCCGTTCTGCAGTTATGCCACTGATCTGGTTCTAGGGGCCTTCAGAATTGAGATCGGTATATCAGGTTGGATCCTTCTCTACCTAGAGCTTACTGAGCCCCACGTGCACCTCCATCATTCTCGACTGCTCACATCCGGCCTCCAGGGGCAGGCTATCCTGACACCCACAGCCTATCTAGATCTATTGGCTTCACAAAAGGGGTGCTTTGCAGTTCTTTCTCTTGAGTCAGCCACTTGGCTTTTCTGATACACTTCTCCACATACAGCAACGAGGAAGAGTCTGGAGGACTGCTTCCAGATCTCGCACGCACATTTTACCCGGCCCTTGGAGCGCCAGTAATCGGGTATTTGTAGTTTAACCGATAAAGCATGCAGGCAATGAGACTAACAAAGCCAGATGGAGGGAAGGAACAGGGATGGGCATCATCAAACACACTTGTCATGGCCCTAAATATATGCCTACATCTGAAATGTTGTTTTCTCCAAAAGCATCTTCCTTAAGTGCTTCCGTTATAGGAGTCTGGGAATGGGAGAATAGAGAGAACTAGAACATGCTGAAGGAATAATCCATTTCTTAATAATAATAATAATACTAGTAATATTATTATATATTCTATATCAGTAATAATAATTATTACTCTAAAAATTTACTCAAATAGCTAGCATTGTTAAGATCCCCCCCAGTAAAAAAGAAAACAAAAACCAAAAACCAAAACCAAAAACAACAACAACAACAAAACACAAAAAACCACTGGGACCCATGATTTCCTTGTGTCTCATGAATCCTGACATTTCTGTGACATGGCATGATGGCCCGTGCTCGTAAACAAGCTAACTGTGGTGGGGCTCACACTGGTTAAGCACCCTGTGGAAACTCTCAAGGCCAGAATGGCAGAGCCAGCCACTTCCAAGAATGATAGGGAATGAGAATCAAATATACAGCTCATTTTAAAGTGAAAGAATATCAAACAAGTGTTAGTAACTCCATAAAACAACGTCTAATTCCAAGAATTTATGTACGGCACAGATCGGAGTGCGCAGTACACAGAATAACGCAGTGTACTCACTCTCTGTCAATGACAAGGCAGGTCACAGCCTCTGCGGCAATCACGTTTGCTGTCCTCACATCCTCCCTATATAAAAAAAGAGAGAGATGTTAAAGTAAAATAACCTTTACTATCAAAGAAAAGTGATCATTGCAATTAATTTCAGGAAACACAGTGAATTATGTATACCCCTCGATTTATCCATCCCCAGGGTTACGCTTCGTTCATGTCTCAAATTTCTTTGTCCTGAGGAACCACCTTACTCTTGCCATGAATCCCTCAAATCCTACAGTTATAATCCAGGAGTTAGAATTTTCGATCTTAAAGTTTCATTTATATAAGTGAAACAAAATTCTATATCCTTGTTCCCTGTGCTCTTTGGGGAATTAAGGAGTTAACTGGATAATGGTGAGGATGGTAATGATGTAATGAGAGTTTTTAAAGGACCCGAGGACTGAGTAATCCATTTGTGTGTGAATTTATTATTATAACCTTGAGAACAATGGATCTGTTTTAATTATCCCCTTAGAGACCCTGTTTTAATGTGGCTAACCTTTTGGCCACTTCTAACACACAGTTATTCATCTACACCAGAGTTCTCGGTTCTTCAAGAGTATCTGACAAATCTTAATTGCTCTGATTGAAATATGTATATACTGTTTGGAAATATCCAATTTGTCACTGTAGGCATATCTATGAACTTCTTAAACCTTTAAAAAGGTGTTCTTATATTTCTCGTCTTACCCAGAGGTCAAAGACAGACTTTGTAAATTAACATTCACATTTCATTCTGAGCTACTAAAAATGTCATAGTATCACTACATAGAAACAGTAAGTTATATATGAAAATGTACTCCTTTTCCTAGAAAAGTAAAATTTCAAAGTTAATGATCAATATAAGTTTGAAATACATTACAGAGAAATATACAGAAATAATATACTGTTAATAATACATTATAAAAATCATAATCCAATTATCATAGGTCTCTAATAGTAGGCTGTTAAAGTCTTGAAAATAAAGATGTACCCACTGAATTTTTATTTTTCAAAATATACTACTTTCTCACATATATTCTGAACCCAGTACTTTTTCTACTGATCTGTCTTTCACTGTGGCTACACCATGATATTGCAATTACAGCTGTGGGGCGCCTGGCTGGCTCAGTTGGTAGAGCGTGCGACTCTTGATCTTGAGGTCATGAGTTCAAGCCCCACACTGGGTATAGAGATGACTTAAATAAAAACTTTAAAAAACTAAAGAAATAAAATTACAGTTGTTTTATAGTAACCATTAGTATTGAGTATTTGGTAAACAAGTGCCCCCTCACTAAAATTATTTTTCAGAAATAGCTTGATGACATTGTTAAACATTCATATTTCACAGAGACTTTAAAATCATGTTTCCACTTCCAAGGGAACCCACACTGGGATTCTGGTAGAGGTGTATTACATTTATACATTGATTTCAGAAGAAGGACTTTTTCATTATATTGATTTTCCATACAATCACATCACATGGCCCTCCACTTGTTCACAGCTAGTTTTAGGTCTGTAAGTAAAATTTCTTAATCTTTTTCGCCAGGCCCTTTTTTTTTTTTAAGAATTATATCGTCACTTTCTATTATGAAAGCAGTCTTTCCACTTCTGTTTCTCACTGGTTATGCTATTAAAGGAGAGAAGCTATGAATGAGTGTGTATCTTTAATCCATGTGTCATACTAAGCTCACTTCTGAGTCTACAACTTTCCTTCCAGTCTCCTCGGCCCCCCGCAGGATTCTGTCAGTGCCTCCCTCACACCCCCACCTTCCAGCCAAACTGGCCACCTCTGTTCTCTGCTGAATACATCGACCACCCCCCAAACCCCCCGCCTATAGGCCCCTTCCTCAATTCATTAGAATTAACTAGACCAGGTTCTCCGCCCATCTGTTCTCACGGCCTGATGTACCTCTCGACCCACGTACCTATGGTGGTTTGTCATCTATATGTTTATTTGTGGGGTCCTTGGTTGGTGATTCTATCCCCCTCCCACTAAACCACAGGGGGGCAGGTTCCATGGCTACTTTTACTCCCCGTCTTACCCCGAATTCAGGGGCATGCAGGAGGCACCTACTAAGAGTGTGGTACAGAATGGCAAAAGCACCACAGCCTTGAGCCTGTGCATAGGACGAGCAGAGAGCAGGTTTTGGACTCACACTGTCTTGGTTTTACGAGGCAAGCTACAAGCTATGTGAAAGTCTTGAAAGTGGGAATGGTAAGAGCGCACACTCCCTGGAGGGTATTAAATGCGACAGAGTTAAAGTTTATCATAACGCCCAGCTCATGGAGAGAAGCGCATTCTTCTGTGGATTCTGGCCCTTTCATCTTCTGTGTGGCCACGCTGTCCAGTGGTTTATGAAACGCTCCCACCCAACAGAATGCAGATACTCTTTCTGCTCCAAGGGAGCAGACAATATATTTTCAACTCCATGATCATACTTTCTGAGCAGGAATTTTTAGTGAAGGGGACACAACAATGGGCAGAAAACATGAGTAACACCCAGTAGGTCTTTCATAAATTGTATGACTCCTTTCCTTTCCTTTTTTTTTCTTTCCTTTCCTTTTTTTTTTTTTTAAAGATTTTATTTATTTATTCATGAGAGACAGAGAGAGAGAGAGAGAAACAGAGGGAGAAGCAGGCTCCCAAGGAGCAGGGAGCCCGACGCGGGACTCGATCCCAGGACCCTGGGATCATGACCTGAGCCAAAGGCAGACGCTTAACCGTCTGAGCCACCCAGGCGCCCTCTCCTTTTCTTTTCATTCCTTCTCTCTTTCTTTCTTTGGTTTTATTTACTTATTTGATAGAGAGAAAGTGCAGGAGCAGGGGGGAGCTGCAGAGGGAGAAGTAGACTTTCCGCTGAGCAGGGATCCTGATGCAGGGCTCGATCCCAGGACCCTAAGATCATGACCTGAGCCGAAGGCAAGATGCCCAACCAACTGAGCCACCCAGGTGCCCCAAGAATGACTCATTTCTTAGGAGGTTGCTCATGGTAGTACGTTACTACACCTTGCTGCTAGTCTAAAAAACCAAAAGAACACTTATCACAGCTTTACAGAAAACATATGAAATCTGAATTTTCCTAAAATATATTACCATCTTGACAATTTAGTCACATCTTTAAAAATATAATATATACAAAATAATGCTTTGTTCTGAATATATTCTCTGTGCATATTCATTTTTTAATTATTTCATCACAAATTTGCAATATTTTAAACTTTTATTATATCATCTGGCCTAAACTGGATCTACTTTTTCAAGTGAATGCAATTTTCTTGCAACAAAAAGAAAACTCATAAGGGTGCCTGGGTGGCTCAGTTGGTTGGGCGACTGCCTTTGGCTCAGGTCATGATCCTGGAGTCCCTGGATCGAGTTCCGCATCGGGCTCCCTGCTCGGCAGGGAGTCTGCTTCTCCCTCTGATCCTCCCTGCTCTCATGTGCTCTCTCTCATTCTCTCTCTCTCAAATAAATAAATAAAATCTTTAAAAAAAAAAAAAGAAAACTCATAAATATCTTAAAATAGAGATGGGGAAAAATAAAATATCAGAAGAGTCACATAGTCAAGAGAAATTAGAACTATTTTATTTTAAAAAGGAAAATCTGTAAGTTATGGTCTACAATCAGGCATAGTACCTAGTAAAGTAATGTATGTCAAAACAGAGAAGAAGCATAACATGGGGAAAAGCAATATATTAATCATTAGATTATAATATTTGCCATTTACTCAGTACCTAGTATATATCAGGAACTGTATTAGGTGATTCAAACAAATCTCACTTAACGAAGATAGCAGAGAGTGGGTATTTTATCTCAAGTTTACACACGAGGACAAAGTTTAAGTAGTGCACCCAGAGTCAAACATAGCTCGTGAGTTGCTGCTTTGGAATTTGAACACAGATCTGGCTGGCTCCAGAGCTCATGTCTTTCTACAAAAGCCCACTCCTTATACACTCTGCTACCAGACTGCAATCCGACAATAATTCTAAATGCATTCTAATGAAAATGACTTCAGTGCAGTAAGTAGTCATAATGTCTGTCACCATAAAAAATATACTTAGTTGTTAAGAAAAACAGCATTCATATGTTTCTGGCTGCTCAAGGGCAAAGCTAATTCAATAAATCATTTTGATTCTAATAGGGTTCGAATTCCTATCCGTGGTTATGTCCTAGCCCTGCGATATTGCTTTATAATAATGTTACAATTGGAAATAATTAAATGCCAAGTTCATTCCATGCCAAATTCATGTTGCCACTATGCTGTCTTTGTTATCTCTGCTATTAAAGTGTTTCATGCCATTATGCCTGTCTATGCAGGTATCTAGAAATGCTGTCCCTATGGACTCAGAGAGCCTGCTCCCCAAAGAGACAGAGTGCTATCTGATCTAGTATTGACATGTGCTAACCCCTTATTTTAGGAGAGATGGTAGAAACTTCTAATGAGACAATATCACTCATAGAAGCTGACAATACTGTGACTGCCTATTTCCTTTGCGGGTGTGAGGAAATATGAGATTGAGATATAAAACATTACATACTCGTCTAATACAGAGGTCCTGACTGCTTATTTCCTTTGCGGGTGTGAGGAAATATGAGATTGAGATAGAAAACATTACATACTCGTCTCATACAGAGGTCCTAAGAGCTCCATATTGGTTTTTAAACTTCTCTCTATCCATACACAGCTGCTAGGATCCTGGTTTCACACAGAACATCTGCCCAGTTAGCAGGGGCTTCATGTAATACTGGCTTAGAAGAGAGAAAGAGGAAGGAGGCAGATCCTGTTATTTATAAAAACAGCTTTCTTTGAGTTTTACTTTTTGACAGATCATGGTATACGATCATTTCTAGCAGAAGACTACAGGAGATTTTGGAAGTCCCATTGACGTTGACCACAAGATAATTTCATAACTAGAATTATAAGATAATGTACAATATACTTAATTAAAAACATCCATCAAACACATACTGCCTCTTAACACTCAACACACTTCTTTATAGTAAGTCATGCACCTGTATCTACACAAGAGTCCGGGTCTAACGCGCACATCGT